TTTTTTTTGTATTCTTTCGTAACTATCATTTTCTATTGCCTCGATAGTACTAAAAACTTCAAGTATGAAGAAAGCTCTTTACCCACTTTTTGAAGGAGTAGCGCTTTCACGCTGAACTCCGTTACTCGTTACAATTACAACATCTTTCTGCATGGAATGCTTTATCGTTAATAAAGCCACTTTCTTTCCTTTCTTTTTTTTCCGTGAGAGATTGAGATAGCATTCATAAAGAGGGGGAAAAAGAGAGAGAGAGAGAGAGAGCATGAGTACGTAACGAGATTTTTAAAATACCCATTCGTAGACTATATTTACTCCGGATGGAATCATAATCTCGTTGGAGTACTCGGTCGAAGGATTTGGAGCGTTCTAATACGGCGATCGAGTGAAGAAGGTAATAGCATGCAGGTGAAGAGAAAGAGAGAGAGAGAGAGAGAAAGAGAGAGAGAGAGAGAGAGAGAGAGAAAGAGAGTGAGTTTTGATTCCAACGCGAAAAGAACGGAACAATGCAACCATAGAGACTCCACTTTATGACGGTGAACCACGATTTTCGACGAACTGGAAGAGAAACACGTTTCTGTGTTGCAATTCGCGCAGGCTTGTTACAAGGACCTCGTGCCCTTGCATCTGAGAGATTTGAAAATTTACTCTCTCTCTCTCTCTCTCTCTTCCTTTTTTCTCTTTCCTACCATTTTTTTCTCTATTTTTTTTTTCTTAAACAAGGTAATTTCAGTTTAGGAAACCTTAAATGTAATAACAGGTTTTGGATGATGTTAAATGTAAATGTGTTTTTTTTTTACGTAAAATGGATTAAAGATAAATCTAGTTAGAAATTTGTTTGGAAAAAGCGAATCGTGACGAATACATATAGATATATGTATGTATCGTTATTTTGTTCGCTTATGTATAGACCGTATATCGCGAATATTATATTAAGTGAGACACATTTCTTATTCCCGTAATACATTAATATTTTCAAATATGAGGATGAAATGAGAGAGAAGATTCCATTGTCACTACTGCGTTACATTTAATTTATCTCATTTTATTTTCTTACGTCATTCCTCGCGATATACATTTATATGATGTTCATAAATGATTACGACATATTTGTAATTCTTTATGAGATAGTTGTAATGAAACATAAAAAAGAAAAAAAAAAAAAAGAAAAAAATAAATATCTTTTGGTCAATTTCATCAGTAAAATATTGTAAATTGTTGAAATGAAGATAAATCTTTATTGTAAAGATTTGTTTGTATTACATTCAAATAATATATAGTAATAATTACAAATATAATTAATATTAAATTTAATTCAATCAAGAGGAAAACGAAAGTAACAATTCTTTTCTCGCAAATATTACCAACGAGTTTTATTCTTTCGTAACAGGAAAAGATAACAGCAGAAAAGATAAAGTCGAAAGTTCGTGGTACGTTCAACTTCCTGTGTTTCTCTCGCAAAGTTTTCGAGCTATTCTCATGCTTCCGAACAACTTAGGCGACTTTTTATCTTTCCCTAGGTTTCTCTCGATGAGCTTTGCGGGATAGTAGAGAATATCCGTTTAGGTATCATAACTCGTCCGAATTTCGTAATGCCTCTGTAAGATAAAGCGAATATTCATCGCGGACAAATAATCCGATTAAGAGCTGTCACCTTGAGATCCTTGAAGATTATTAATCTTGAACTCGGTGTGTATCGTTTTGATTGGAAAACTTCCTATCACAGGGAAGCTCTGTTTGCGAACTTTCTACTATCCGATCAGTTTGCCAATTCGTAGCTGTGTCTGCAGCTAAAACGAAGAACCGTTGGACACTATGGTTTAATGGCGCGGAACTCGAGATCGGCCGCGGACGCTAACTTTGAATCGCGGCTTTTCGAACTTTCGGTAGGATTGATCGTCCTTTTTGCTTCGATGAATTATGACACAAACGGTGAGAATAGGAAAACAGAACTTGTCGAGTGAACAGAGTTTTGATTTACGTATATAGTGAATAATAATAACGGTATCAAATACTTTCTCGTCATTTCACAGGGAAAATAATGAATGGAAATGATCGATCAACTTCCGAATCGAATTAACGTAGAAGGAAGTAAATCCCGAGAGAATTTAAACGTTTCAACACATATTTCTCTCTCTCTCTCTCTTTCTCTCTCTTTCTTTCTCTCTCTCGTTAGTGTGCAAACTCTCACATAAACACGTTCAATTCGCACGAAATCGAATGGTTCAACCTCAAGGGCACGATCTTATCCGTATAACTAGTTAAATTAGACTGCACCGTCTAGGCCACATTGGTGTTACAATTCCTGGACGATGCAGTAGTACAACGATGCGCAATCGGTGTTGTAAACTTTGGTGAACGCGGTATATACACGAGCCATAGAAATTTTCGAACTCCGACGCGGTCTCCGCGTACATTTTAATTCCAAGCTTTAACATCTCTCTCTCCGTCTCTCTCTTTCTCTTTCTCTCTCTCTCTTTCTCTCTTTCTCTCTTTCTTTCCCTCTTTATCCGTTTTACCATAAATGCGTTGTTTCGAAAGATTACAAGATGAACAAGTAATTTAAGTTAGTAAACACAGCGATATATTTTAAGATAATATTTTTAATCGATCTTCGTTAGTAAGGAAACGTTTCGTATAACATAGGTCAATTTTCATTAGCGTAGCTTTCTACAATAATTCAAAATTATCGTTAAGCTCCTGTATTTCTCGCTGGTTAATATTATCCATCGATAATTTATTTTATCTACAAATATAATGTCTAACGAGATTTTCATTTTCTATTCTTTAATGTCTCCATTATGCCATCTATTTTCTTCTTGTTCCTTCCTCTTTTTCTCTTTGTAATTACGAATTTTTTTTATTAATTCTTACAAACGACTTACGTTTCTTTTTTTTTTTTTTCTTTTTTTTTTGATACGTAAAAAGCAGAGAACAATCTGAAAGATCAAACGCGTTGAGATTTTTCATTGAAAAAAGAAAATGATAAAAAAGAGAAAATCATGTCCTGTTCAAGAAAAAGATAGATAGATAGATAGAGAAAGAGAGAGAGAGAGAGAGGGAGAGAGAGAGAGAGAGAGAGAGAGAGAAAAGAAGATACGGGTACCATCGTCCTTCTAAAAAAGCTCTTTTCTACGAAGAGGATAGCTTTTCCGACGTGTCACAGCGAGAAGTAATCTCACGAAATTGCTTCGCACGATTTTAGGTCGTTCCGAAGTAGCTACCCTCTCGATTGCCCGCTCTCGTTCTACTTCCGGCTTTCGATCCTTCGAATTTCATTTGCCTCGAGAGAAACTACCGGAGAATTCGTCGGAGGATAGACGAAACGAATGACGTATCTAACCGTGAATATTTCACTACGCGTACACAAATTTCTATGCCGTTACCTTACATCGAAATATCTTAGAAATTTGATTACCGTCAAAACATCTAGTTTCTCCGTTTCTAAACTATTTTTAGTTTCGACATCTACGTATTTCAGCATGAATATTTATGATATATTTATATATACATATGCATGAATATTTGATGATTTTTGAAATTATGCATCTATGTGAGATCGACAAAATGATTGGCACGGTTGGTGCTCTGGATTTGGCTTTTTTTATTCATCCTTGTCTTCCTCTCTTCCTCTTTCCCTCCCTCTCTCTCTCTCTCTCTTTCTCTTTTTTTTCTTTTTCTCTCCATGTTTCTCTCACTTTTTGTAATTTTTCCCACGGCAAGGGATACACTCCTACAGTCTCTTTTTGTTTCCTCCATTCTCTGTCTGTCTCGTAAAAAAAGTAGGCCCAGTGGGGATTAAACTCGAGTCTGAGCTTTCACGTTACAGGCAACGGGTTACATTGCAGCACGCGAGTATGTCATTTAGTAGCTTTGTTCGTAGCATGCACGTTTGCCATAATACCACTGGCATTGATACACTCGGATAAATTTTGCGTAACGTTCGTAATATTCGAAGAGTTAAATTTATGATCCACTCACGTTGACAGTTGATTACGATAAGAAAAAAGAAATTAAAAAAAATAAATTAAAACCGTGATTTAAATCTTTCTATTCATGTTTGTTTCTTTTTCTTTTTTTTTTCTTTTTTTATTTTTTCATTTTTTTTTTTTTTTATTTTTTTAATTCGAATGAAATAAGAAAATGTACGGTTATTACACGCTAATTATTCGAATTGCAAATTGTATAAGCCTCGGTAAATCTTAAAACAAGAGAAAAAGCAATGTCGGCATTATTTTTCGAAGAGAGAAAAAAATTCTCTCGCAATTAAACTACCGGTCGCGGTTACTTTAGAAATATAACAAGAACGATAATAATAATCATAATTTTTTTTTTTGATTTATCGTGGAACTTTCGGCGTTTTGTAGACTATTAATGAATCAAGATCCTCGTCTGCAGGTTATGCTTTTACTTGATATATATATATATATATATATATATATATATATATATATATATATATTTATAAAATAGCTTAAAATAGAGTTCTACCATGGCGACCCTAGCAGCAATGAGTGCTCCCTATTACGCGCTTGAAAAATTTCACAATCGCATGCTCGTAAAGTCGAGGACCATAAAAATATAGGTCTACTCCGTCGAGTACACGCTTCGGTGGTCGCATACAAATGGCAATATTATCAGAGCAGAAGACAAAAATCGTGCTAAAGGGTGATGATGTGGGCGAGGGTCGAGTTGTTGGAAAGGGTTCTACGTCGTTGTTTACGAACGTCAGCCTATGCGAATAAGAAAAGTCGTCTGACTTTCAAAGAACTCATATTGCGTCCATGTTTGAGGATCGATCGAAAATTTTAACGAGCTTGAGCAAACTATTATAGTTAGTAATAGGGTTCGCGTTGTTTCGGTTCACGTTTTCTGGTTAAATTTGTTTTTCTTTTTTTTTTTTTCTGTGATAACAATTACAATGATAGCAACGACTAAGATAATACAAAAAGTATGGTACTACTGTTCGTAAATTAGAGGATAAAAAAGAAAGAATTACTTACCCGTGCTTTTGGTGTCTGCTTTAGTCCGATCGCTGGCTGGCTTCTGTTACTCTGAAACAACAAAAGAAAATGGTATGCTGTACAATGGAAAGTAATTAATAGAGATTTCAAAGAGAAATAATAAGATTGGATTGCGTTTGTAGCGTGGCTTAATGAAAAGCTCATATATATGTATGTATCTACGTTCACTTTTTGGCGAATAGGATTATAGAACGACTAGCGAACATTAAAACGTTAAGATAAAGAGAACTCGTTATTTTGTTTTAGGATTTGCCGTTTATATTCTACGGACGTACCGTTCTAACTATCATAGATCACACTTGTATGAGATATACATATATATATTTAGATAAAATGAAATTCTAAAAGACAAATAACGTGATACCACCGACTCTGTTCGAATTCGTAATCTTTCATGAATAAAATTTGAACGGCCAATGATAGATAGATACTTCAGAGTCCCTCTTTCTGATGGAGTATAAATCTTATCGGAAGACAGAAAGCGTCAGTGTCACTTTGCTTCGTTTCGGTAGGACTGTCGTTTCGAACGATAAAACGATAAATTTGCTGGGTACCATTGAATCATCCGCTATCGTAACGTACTGTTATCTTTCTTGCGAGCGTGTAAATTTTAATTACTCTATCGGTTACTAGCTCGATCGAACGAACGCATACTAGAAAAAGTGAACAAGAAAAGGAATGAAATAAATGGTACGATTAAAATTATGATTACTCGAGAAGAATTTCCTGTTGAAATTTCTTGCTTCTTTCCTCTCTCTCTTTCTCTCTCTCTCTCTCTCTCTCTCTCTCTCTCTCTCTTTGTTTTCTCTCTCGTTCAACCACATTAATAACGATGAAAGGAAAAAAAATTGGCTAGATAATTAATTGAATCGACATTTTTCGTTTTGCTTGATTTTCACTTCATTGAAAAAAACTTCACTGGCTCATCCATTACGTTTTTATTCATTTTTGATACATATATGGATCGTTTAAGATCATATTTTAACTGTTAACTCATACATAGATCGCGTATCATTAATTAAACGATAATCATGTAAAGTATGTTTAGATCGTTGGAGGATAAACAGATATTGAAAATGAAGAAGTCATAATTAACGATATGCAGATAAGTACAGATTTGACGTCAGTGTTATGGAAATGGACTCTCACTCGCATTTAGTTTCTGGGTCACGGAAAATGAACGAGCTAGATAAATTGAGAAGCAGCGATGGCCAAGCGAGTTGTGTTGAGCAAGACGAAAGCAACATGAGAGAGAGAGAGAGAGAGAGAGAGAGAGAGAGAGAGAGAGAGAGAGAGAGAGAGAGAGAGAGAAAGCAAGTGGGGGAGTTTGAGAGAAACGCTTAGGAGTGATAATTAAGCGGTTTATCTCGATTAATTCCGAATAATTACGTCTAGCAATTAGTTCCAATTACCGGGATTGTGTCACGCACAATGTGAACGTTGCTTCTCCACTACAACTCCACTTTCCTGAATCACTAGTCGTCGTTCTCTTGTCATTCTAATCTTTGCCATGGACAATGTATCGTCGGGTTAGACAAACCGCACAATCTTCGTGTCAGTTTTGTTTTCGAATTTTAATTTTTAGAAGAAAATCCGTCGGTAAGTGTTAAAAGTCTATTGCATCGAATATTTATGTATGTATGTCATATAAAAATCTGTAAAATATAACTCCACATCGTTCAAGACGTCAGCAATTACATTTTTATATATCTGTTTACGTAAGTGAGTTGCAGTAGTTCTCATATATTATTTACACATGGATTAATTGAAGGTACGTTTGCTTTTCTATAGATCACGTTACTTTTTAAAGCACGTAACGAAAACATGAATGAAAGAAGCAATAGTTATTTTTGTTTGTACGTCTTTTTTTTCTTTTTTGTTTCTTCTTTTTTTCCACAACGAAGTACCTAATTTATTCGCAAATTTTGCTTACGTTAATCATCACGATAATTATGTCATGTACGAGAACCAACGAGAAAATATTTTTTACCGGAAGTCAGAAACCAAATGCTGACGTAGTTACAATGATATATTGATCTCATATTTTTCTTTGTATTTTTGTTTTTTTTTTTTTTGTTTTTTCTTCTCAACATGTTGCATTGTAAATAGAAAATAAAGAGTATTTTTATAATAATTCGATTATTATTTATGCTTTGATTTACGATTATTAATGATTAACAGTAAATAGCATAAAGGTGGAAATGTTTTTTCATTTAGTAAATTAATATTCACATATACATATCCATATTATATACAAATATTATATGTTTCAACAAATCATTTATTACTCCAGGACAGAAACGGTATATTAATTAAGTATATTAAATATTTGAAAAACTCCTATGAGATATTAATAGCCATTAATAATCGAAAACTGTTTTGGTCAGATATAGATATGTATGTATCAAAATGATTATTAGCGAGTCACGTATTTTCTTGCATCGAGAGTTACTAACTTTAAATCGATTATTAATAACAGGAATTAAAATCATTGGGAACGTCAGCGATATATTCGGTTAATGGTAAATTAATTATACGGCCACGATTCAATGAATTGTCGAGATCGAGCATAGTACTTTAAGTTATTGGCTAAATCATTAATAGTTTTACAATCTAATAACGTAGTGGCAATTATATAAAAGATCGCGTGTCGATAGAACGATTGTTTTATCACTTTATTAAACGATAGTTAAATTTGAAGTTTTCACTATTGATTCAAATAATAATTCAACGTGGTGATAAAGTTTCTTTTGTATACGGACTATTTATTATTTTTAAAATATTTTTTTAACTTAAACGATAATAAGAAAGATGATTGATCTTATCAATAAATAGTATACGATCGTGTACGATTTAGATATGAATTAAGACAACGGAAGTTTATAAAATTTGAAAAATTCTTAAGGTAAGGATAACATAATATAAAAAGAAAGGTTAAAGAAAGCGAATAGAAGTAGGTTGTACCGAGGAAAGGATGCGTCTCGGAAACGAGCGACGGCAGTCGTTATCGTAAAAGGAAGAAATCGTCCACGTAATTCAAACGGTCGTTATGGTAAATGTCAGTTAAGGCGAGCCGGATAGCCGTAAACTCGATAAAAGTTAATGTTAACTAGGACGTTGTGGGAGACGATCGTTTTTGAGCGGTTCAAGAACGTCCGTGACGATAAACGTAATTTTTTGGAAGAAAGGAAGAAAAAAAGGTCAAGTACTTTTACTTAAGTTCGAGAATGCTTTTCAAAATCGATTTCCAACAACATAGTCTGTGGACTCTAGTGAACAATTTTGAGTATTAACAGGGATGTCCTCGCACGATCTAGATGCAAATTGGAACGACCCGCTCTTAACGTCGATTCGATTTCTCAGAGCACGGAACTCTCGTTACAGATCGCTAATTAATTTTCTCGGATGTTTCGAGATATATAATTTCACTCGTTGATTCTCATCGAATGACTTAACACGCGAATAAAAAGCTGATGATTTGCTTTTTTTATTTATTTATTTATTTATTTTTTTCCCCCTTCAAAACATATACCAACGACTCCGAAGGCCAATTATTTTCGAAAGACTTAACGGAAACTTCGCGAAAGACGAAAGTTTAATTGAACTTTGGCGTTTTCCTGTTTCGATGCTCGGCCGTGCGGGCAAGCGCTCTCCTCATTAGAAAATTTGGTCTTAAGACTCGTCTTTTAACCCCCGTTGCCTCCGATTGTAATTACTCCAAGTTTTCCATCGAGTTACTAGCAAGCGCTGGGGCAAGGATAATATTGTAAAGCAACGCGCCCTATTTCCCCGTAATTGCCGACGGTCTCTACCACTTCCTTGAGATTTACTCTCTCATTCCGTCCTCCTCCTTTCCCCTCCGATTCTTTTGTCCATCTTTTCTCGACTCTTCTTCCTTCCTCGCTTAAACGCCAAGATCCGGTGCTCCCTGCTTTATGATTCTCATTCGTTCTCGGCAAAACGGCAAAAAGCAACCCGACCGCAACTTTGTACTTCTTCTATACGGTGACAACAAAAATTGTCATAGAATTCGTTTTCTTCGAAAGGGAACATTGGGTTTAACAATGAATTGGTATTCGCGCGACGTCAACTTTTTGCCAAGTCTAATTCTTTTCTGAGATTGAAAGTTTTAATCGAGCGAAAAATAGCGTTCTTTTGAAAGGAAGAGGAAATCATTTGTAATTTTTTTAAAGGACATCGTCGTTTATAAAGGATGTTTAAAATTTACGATTAATACGCTTTATTTTAACGCTCGAACGAGAATCGATGGTTGCAATCGAAGTTCTACTGGAAGATTCGTGTACTCGAAATTTCTTCGTGTTGTTCTCTTCCGCATAAAAGGGCATTCTCTGAGTGGATTGAAAAGAAGGAGAAGAGAGAAATGGTGGACCGTGAGCGAACGTTTCTTTTAAATCGGCACGACAATTAATTCGGCTTTGAGCCAAAGTTGAAAAAAAAAAGAAAAAAAAGAAGAACAAAAAATGAAAAAAGAAAAAAGGTCGTATTGAAAACAAATCAATCCGTCGGAACGAAACGTGCCACGAGAACTGGACGAGATTGGGAACGCGCCATTGAAAATCCAGTAACGACTAGGTCACGTATGTATAAAGGAAATGAGAATTCTACTTCGCGTAGAAAACTCGATTGTCTTCGATGTCTCGATTTCTCGAATTATCTTTACGTTCAGACGCAAGAACCCGATTAGCGTTTTGTTCTGTAACATTTGTATTCTATATATATTATTTTGTTAGTAGAAACTTTTATATTTTAATTTTCAGACATTTTTGTGAAACGTATCTAAGCGCGATCGAAAAATATATGATGTTGATTTTATTATCTAACATTTTTATAAAACGAATAATACCGTATGCATTTTATTCGTGATGTCTATTACCATTGTTATCGATCTTTCTCAAGGTTCTTACGATACAATGAGCACGTATCTTCCATTATATTCTTTATTCTCTATATTAATAAATCGTATTCATATATCATCATTCGTATATACAATAGTTCCGTATAAAATGTTT